CAGGAATGCTCTAATTTGACATTTCTGTGTAACTATAATAATCAACTGATGTTCAATCAAGGGTGCCCTAAAGCACTGCAAATTCTTGAGATTATTTCTAAAGTGAACGGAAGATGAATTTACATACAGTTGTTCTACTGGTAATATATCTGAAGGATTCTAACCCTTTGAGAATGAGTAAGCTCCACTGTAAGCACCTGATGGCAGGGATGGTGATGTGCTCATCCTGCATCCCTGGTACAGCATCGCCATGTGCCGACGCCAAGCATGAGCACAGAGCTACAGGCGGCCGCATGCGGCAGACAGACCTGCACCCCAGCTCCGACACTTAGAGGTTCTCTGCCTTCCACCAAGTCTCCTCGGGTGTCCAGTGGGGAATAACAAGAGTACCCACTTCATAGGGATGCTGTGACAACTAAATGAGATGGCGCACACAAAGAACCAAGAGTGATTCACAGAGACGAAACAATAAATGTATTAATTATAATTTATTAGTTATTCATTTATTCAGTTACTCTTTTCTATTCAGAGTACCCACCCTCCTTGGTTAATCAAATTTGCTACCAATTAGGTTAACTGTATTTGCCACTTTAAATATTCTCTTCAATATCTAAAAACTGCTTCAAGATAGCATGATAACGTGTGTGTTTTAACCCGATGCATTGGGAATCTGACATTGATTATGTTGCAACTGATAGGAAAAATATACGTGGTCAGAGGAAAAGACTGACAGATCAGAAGCTTATTTCCTCGAAGGAAGGAAATAAGCCGCTAAATGACATCTTTGTAGAACAACCTCTCAGCACCTCACCTCCTTGCAGGCAAATGGCTTGGCAGGGATCAGAGTGTCTGCATGCATGGCACACCCACCTGTCATTCAACCTGGCCCTGCTGATGCGCAGGCCATTTGGCTAATATACACAAAAGAGCAACACTCCACAAGCAGTCTCAAGGTAGGGGCATCCTTGAGAGTTTGGATCCAATGCCAGCTTTCACAAATAGAGCAAGAAGACAAGCCATCGTCTTGCGAAAGCATCCATCTGGCAAGTTTCATTTAATTATCATGGGCAACTGTGTGATTGGGCTGAAAAGTAGGACGGAACACAGAAAGCAGTGGAACTTTAGGAGAATGCTATTTGCTGAAGACTGCCGGCACCATACGGCAGGTCTCTCTGGACTCAATTCAAGTGTCATCTTCTTTTCCAAGCCATCCTCGACTCTCCAAAGCCAAGTTGGTTAGTCTCGCCTCCCTACTCCTGAAGCCCTTTAGAGCACCTGACGTGCTTATACAATATCCTGGTGTGTCTCCTCCTCCGTCAAGACTGTATGTTCTCAAGGGCAAGGACCATGTCTCACTGACTGTACCTCTGACTCCCAGCAGAGTCTGACCTATGGCAGACATACAGTAAGAGCTGTTGAATGATTAAGTCCCCCCAGAGGAACAAGTCCCTCGTATTCCAAAGGAATTCAATTAGAGTCACAAAAAGGGACCTGGAAGAACAGCCTAATGGTGATTTTCCTGTGTAGGGGCAGGATTTACACTATTTTTGCAATAGTGGGCCATGACATAAGAAATCCACACATATACCTGGCTGTGTGATTTTTTTTTTTGCATACTGAGATTAATGATGAGAGGGGAAGGTCTACACATAGACAGTAAAGATAACTGGATAGGACTCAAATGGGAATCAAGTTCATAAGACAGATCTCCGCATACCAACCTTCCTTTTGTCACTCATTCTTCCTAACGCTACATGATGGATTTTTAGTGGAATTAAATATTACTCAGTATGGGGGAAAGGGCTGAAAGGATGCCTGATGATGTTCACAGTGGTTATCTCTGAGTAGCAGGGTTATGGATAGTTTCTATTTCATTCTTTTGACTTAGCTTCTAAATTTTTTTTCTTTTTTTACAGTGAACACATAGCTAATAACAAACCTATAAGACATTTTTTTAATTAAAAAAAATTGGAACAGCTGAAAATTACATAATCAATTGCATTTAGCTTTGGTTACAAGATCCAAGCCTTCTAGCATGACACCTGGTAGCAGTTATACAACGGCCAGGGCTGGCAAAAGGTACGGTCAGGCTGACCTACTTGTTCCTGTGTGCTGGTTAATTAGGCAGATGTTTAAGCTACTATCCCAACCTAACCTAAGGCTAATAGAGCAGCTTTTGTCCTGTTGGACCTTAGGCTGGCAAACCAAGCTCAGAGGGCTCCTCAAACTTCAGTGGGCATTTGAAGCATGAGGAGATGAGGTTAAAATGCACACTCCTGGGCCCCATCTCCAGAGATTTAATAAGCTGAGCATCTGACCCAGCAAAGGGCTTTTTTAGAGAATCTTCAAGCGACCCTATCAGGGCTGGGACTAGAGTGAGGCAAGAAGAGCACCTAAGGCGAGGAATTTAAGAAGCTTCTCACCCTCTAGGTCTTGCAAATACAGGTTGGCACCCTGAGTGAGCACCTCCTTAAATTTGGCAACCTAGGCATCTCTGCTGCCTCATCCTAATTCCAGCCCTGTCCCTAATGTTGGTGACAAGAGACCTCATTGTGAAAAGGCTAAATTACATGAGTACAGTTTGGGCTGTACATGGCAAGTTGCACTACAAAAAATGTTTAATGCATAAAGAATGAGCTAGGTATAATTCTGATTCCTAAAAATGAAAATCTGGGCTCATCTGCATTTTGTAAGTGCCTCAACGCACCGTCTAAGGCATTAAATATACATTTTGCTTTTAAAGACACATAACTCCCTGAAATTCTCCAGGTTAAATCTGAGCTGTGTTTCCTTAGATATTCTGCAATCAGCAGTATACCAAATGACACATTCCTTAATTCCTCCCAAGTTGGAGGTTTAGATAAGCCTAAGAGGTGTATAAGCTATGTATTTCCCGTGGAGATAAAAATTAGCCTTGTCTCCTTTCAAAGCACTGTGGACCTCAGTCATCTGGCGTCTCCGACAACACTGATCAGCTCGTAGGCAGATTTCAGAGTGCTTATAACTCTTCTGAGAATTTATTGCTCATGCAATTAAAAATCCCAACCATTTGCTGACTTACCCCACAGATACGTGATCTTACAAAATATTCCTTTTCACCAACATCATCTCCAAACGGAAGGCAAGAACAAATCGAATTTTAAAGAACACAGCACAGACAACAAGAGCTGGGGGGGCGGGGGTGGGAGGAGGTGCACAGGTAACTGGTGGGGAAGCACTGAGTATAGTTCTTGGCTCAACTTAACTACCTCCACCAACTCCTGCTACAAATGCATATCTGCCCACACTCTCTAATCAGCAAAGAACACAGACTTCAGTGTCCATACAACAAAAGACAAAATGAAGAGGGATCTTACGGATGAGTATGTTTTTACAATTGTAGGTCCCATGATATTTAATGGCAATACAGCAATGATTTGTAGCCATTTGTCACTATCATGGTTTGGGTCTGAGTCAAATCTACGTTCCTGCCATAATATCGTTATAATAAAGGAATTTAAATCAACCGAAATAGAAGTATTAAAAAACTCAGGTTAACTTTTACTTATAAAAGGAGCATCATACTTTTTTAATACTTAAAAAAAAAAATCCCCAGAACAGATATTTTGAAAATACATTTTGGATACAAACAATTATATATAAAATGGATAAACAACAAGGTCCTATGAGGGAACTATACTCAATATCCTGTAATAAACCATAATGGAAAAGAATATGAAAAAGAATATACGTACTATATATGTATGTACAACTCAATCTCTTTGCTGTACACCGGAAGCACAACATTGTAAATCAACTATACTTCAAAAAAAAAAAAATTAAGAAAATACATTTTGTGGGCTTCCCTGGTGGCGCAGTGGGTGAGAGTCCGCCTGCCGATGCAGGGGACACGGGTTCGTGCCCCGGTCCGGGAAGGGCCCGCATGCCGCAGAGCGGCTGGGCCCGTGAGCCATGGCCGCTGAGCCTGCGCGTCCGGAGCCTGTGCTCCGCAACGGGAGAGGCCACCACAGTGAGAGGCCCGCGTACCGAAGAAAAAAAAAAAAAGGAAATACATTTTGTTTTATACATTCTTAAAGATATCCAGCAACTGGCGTATGGGTACTTTAATAGAAATTTGCTTAACAAACGCAACAAAATTTCAACTACAGTGTCCTACATCCAGTTCTGTTTAGCAGTGTCTATCATTTAAAAAAAAA